GGACAGGTGGATTTACCCCACGGCTTCACAGAAGACGAGAAAAGATCAGCCACCTGATGGGACAGGTGGATTTACCCCACGGCTTCACAGAAGACGAGAAAAGATCAGCCACCTGATGGGACAGGTGGATTTACCCCACGGCTTCACAGAAGACGAGAAAAGATCAGCCACCTGATGGGACAAGTGGATTTACCCCACGGCTTCACAGAAGACGAGAAAGATCAGCCACCTGATGGGACAGGTGGATTTACCCCACGGCTTCACAGAAGACGAGAAAAGATCAAATTCCTAATATCATTATTTGGTTGACACTTTTCAGAAACCATCCTGATATGTCTTAAGCTACAAAAGGGTCAAAGAAGAATATGAAAAAATCACATACCAGCATCACAGAAAGTGTAGAGTTGTTACTTAATGTCGAGTCAACTTCACAATCAAGAAATTAAAGATTTCCTCAAACAAGAAACTAGTATCAATTTAAAGTCTTTACATTCACATCAACAAAAGCCAATTACTGTCTCTACAAGTTATTTTAAATACTCATTAATGGACTTTGTTGTATATTATTGTTTCACTGTACCTCTGCATATGTTTCTTCAGAAGTTTAAGTTTTGGGAAGAACTTGGGAAGAAATTCCACAGCTTCTTGTGGGTTAGGAAGGGACTGAGGACGAGCATACTGTAGGTTATGTGAAAAACCAAGACTGTCGAGTAACATCCCGCTACAGACAAAGTAAAACAACAACTTAACACACAAGTAATAAAATATGGATGCAAAGTTCTAAACATTTAATAATGTAGATATAATCTTACCATTGGATATGCACACACATTACACTCTTTATGTCAGATTTATAAAGTTAACCTCAAAGACTATAGAATTAATAGTTACATTTCTTAAATTGGTGATGAATTAAATGCATAAAAAAACTACTAGCCCTGGTTCATATATGTACATAAAAGACATGAATAAATCATATTACTGATAGAGAACACGTGTTACGGAAAGTTGAACTGTAATTTTTTTTGTTTGTAGTTCCATACAAAGCTACACAATGGACTATGTCTGTGCTGTATCCACCAGACGTATCGAAACCTGGTTTTTAGTCACTGGGGGGCCCATTTGCTGTAACCCGACCAGATTTATGTAAGACCAAAAAAAAATATACTCTCCACTTTCATCAAGATATGCACACAATATGAACCTAGGGTTAACTACCCTAGGTTCATATTGTGTGCATATTTCATTATGTAGTTAATCCTAGGTTCATATTGTGTGCATATCTTGATAACTTGCATTATATTAACTACATAATGCAAGATTAAATCATATCTCCCTCTCTTTATGCTGAAAAACTGGTCAAAGTTTACCTGTACAGATGGTTACACAAACATACCTAAAACACTTCTGACAAAGACAAGGTGCTTACTTAGCAAACAAAACGAGCCTTTCTTAGATGTACCTACCTAAGGTGATTAATAACTTCCCACACATACTGGAACATGTCTACAACTCGTTTCTGTTGGACTTCTGAACTCGTTTCTTCTAACTGTGTGCTATAAGAAAAATTATTCTGTGAAAAGTTAGTCACCACCTCTGAATTTTACATTTAAAAAAAAACAACCTGGACAATGAATGCAATGAATGAGTATGTCTAAAATGAACTTTAGATACATGGTAGTGCGTCGTGCACCAAAAACAACCTGCTGCAGGACACACAGTGCCAGTAACAGGAGTGATAGTTCGGTGAATTTTCACCTTGTGTATCTCGGACTGTGGTAATCCAATCTATAACCTATTTTCAGTGGATGTGCTCTACTGGATTCCTACTTCACATATCAAATTTCAAGGTAATCCGTTAAGAAATACCTAAAATATAACATCTCCAATTTTCATTAAGTTTCTTCCTTTTTTTTTTCTTTGCACCAAAAGTACAGAAACTATTTGATAGAAAAAAACATACTTAACTTTTATGGATGTTTTTATAATTTGGTACACTGATAGATCTTTTCAACCTACAATTAAGAGTCTTGTTTTTCGTATATATAAGCCACGTGTGCAAAGTTATTCAACAAAAAACACTCAAATTTGACGAAAATTTTTGTGCATGGCTACGCAAAAAGTCACGCGCGAGCTATCTGTCTAACATTTTTACTACAGCTTCAGCTAAGAGTAAAAGTAGACCATTTTTAGTTTTTTGTCATTTAGATTAAAAACGACTGATTTACAGCAGCAAAACTATTAGGATGAAAGGAAGTGCAGATACAAAACTATTGATAAGGCCAAACAAACTAGATTAGCAGTTTCTTGCTCAAGTTTTAAAAAGAATCATACCGATGGACGGTTATTATTCATTACCAACTTTTCAGCACAAACTTACTAAATTTTATGAAATTATCCCCGGGTGGGCATGATGGTGGGTAAAACAAAATACGCGGCCTAGTTAACTAATGAATGAATATTTGCTGTAAAATTCTTATCAATGCTATAAGTATAGCTACCAGTTTGGCCGTCAATTTTGATTTCATTCCTTTAAGTTGCACACCTTTTTTTTTCCACACCTAAGGTGTTTTTGATTGTCAAGAATCACTTCTTTGAGTAATCAAATCACCAGATTCAGAGATCTACAAAGAATCTAAAGTCGTACAGAATTATCTAATATCAAAAGTGTTATTTTATTATTCTGTAACCAATATGTTCAGTCTCTTAAATCATTTGGGTATTAAAGTCTGCTAAAAGATAAATGTTAACCATGCGTAGTTAAATCTCAATAAAAATTTATAAGTTTAGTTACTTCTTTACTTCACATCAAGAAGCACGACACCGTTAATACCCTGTAAACACACAACACCGTTAATACCCTGTAAACACACGACACCGTTAACACCCTGTAAACAGCTAATACATAAGTTTAGTTACTTCTTTACTTCACATCAAGAACCACGACACCGTTAACACCCTGTAAACAGCTAATACATAAGTTTAGTTACTTCTTTACTTCACATCAAGAAGCACGACACCGTTAACACACGACACCATTAATACCCTGTAAACAGCTAAAACATAAGTTAGTTACTTCTTTACTTCAC